ACTGGGGAGGAAACAGGAGCTCATCCTGCTAACACGAAGGCTGGACTCGAACCGCTGAAGCGTCGACCATTTCTGGCCGGCAACTTTCAGCGTCATTAAGCCACTGCGCCACCGCGTCCCCTAATGTTATGTTTACTTATTGTTATTATGCATTGTATAAATGCTACTGTACAAAATAACTACTTGCTTTTTGTTTCCATTAGGCTTTCTTTAATGAGAAATACATATATGAACACCCAGAAGATCATGAAAAAATTGAAAAACTAAAGGATCTAATTGCATGGCAGGTAAATCAAACTTACAAGGAACCAAATGGCTTTCTGAGATAGCTTACTGTCACTTTTGACACAAAGAAGTCATGAAAGAATTCACTCTACTGCATATGTTTCTGTAGGATTTTGCAAGGCTTGTAACAGGAGGTAAAGTTCACCTTTTCATGCCTTACATAATTTGTAATTTTATCCTCCCAGATGTGAATACTTGTAACCCATGCTTTTATGTCTTCCGTCAAGTGCATAGTCTGAAGCTCTGAGAACACAGAAACTTTCAACTAAATTAAAAATTACATATATTATCTACATTATCCACTGGAACAGTCTTTATTACCTGAGGCTGACTTACTCCAGTAATGATGAAAAAGAACATAGAGATATGAATTAGATTTCCAGATGTAAATTATCATATTGGAATAACAGAAATCTTCATTATAAATACTTATTTCTTGACAAAGCTGTTCTGGATCCAAAATAAAACTATGGCGTGTGGAGGAAATAATTAATAAATAAAAGAGCAGCCCTTCCCCAACTTGGTGCCCTTATGATGAGTTGATATTTTAATTTCTATAATCCCACAATAAGTTTGGAATCTGCCTATGTTTTCTGAGTTTATTGTGAGAGCTAATCCAATATATCCTGTGGACATCAAGTTAGGGAGCCAAAAAAAGCGGGGACTTGAAAATAAGATACTAGAAGAAATAGAGCAGTGTCCTCCAAAGTACCTAAAAGTAAGAAAGCAGTTCTGTTTTACCACTGATCACTGCTTTCTGCCTCACAACACAGCCCACCTGGGATAGCCTCTTCCCTCTGCCTAAGGTAGAATTGACCATAATATTGAATGTGCTTAGACTTCACTGAACATTTTAAGTGATTTTCCAAACCAGGTTCATATTTTTTTACAACTTTCTGGGACTTCTGAAATTATATGGTTCTCCTGTACATACTGGCATTTAAAAAGTGAGTTTACTTTTTGAAGAAAGAATATTTGGCTAGAAATTACTCATTAAAAATATTGTTGACGGCACATTAGAGTACATTAAAACAGAATAAGAAAAGTGAAGAACTCCACTGCAAATGAAAGTGATCTCAGATGTGAAGTTTGCTGTTATAAACCAGAAGAAGTATGAAGTTGATGTTGCTGAAAGAAGTAGCATTAATGGGGGGGAAAAAACAGTGAAACCTTCTAAAGGACTAATTCATTGGAGAGAGATCTGTTGTTCAAAAATATCAATTAAATATGAAAATGTGTCATAGTGATTTATGTTATTTATGTGATGATGCAAATTTCATCATTTGCATCAGTTTGTCATTTGTGCAATGATTTCATTGTGCAAATGCTGCAAATTGCCACAGAAATTTGCTCCATTGCATAAAAACTCCATTATATTGAGGTCCACTAAACTGAGGTTTCACTGTATTTATTTTTTTGTTTATTTATTCCTTGTTCACATTTCAAATGAGGAGTTAAGTTTATTACCAGCGATATTTTATGCAAGTTTACTCAGCTGTGCTCACTCCTTAATAATTGTGTATAGAATTGCAGCCAAAGTTAGTCTGGTCAAAGTTAAGCTAAGACAATGATCAATTTAGGAAAGAAAACATAAAAAACCCAGGATGGTGTAAATCTTTTTTAAAATCTTCAAAGCTGAGGAGTAAATAAAGGAAAGGGCTGGCAAATGAATCATATTCTGAAATGAAATAACAGTCTCAAAGAGGTCAAAAATAGATTGAAAAGCAAAGCAAAACTGCTTTAGAGTATTAACATAATAGGAAAAAATATGTGGTCTTCTAAAACATGAAGATGAATGGACAAGAGCAGGCAGTTAATATTTGCAGGGCTTATGGCATGTTTGTGTTCCTGTCTGAAAACAGCTAGAATATACTTGCAGTGATTGTAAGTTCATAGCAGTGCTTGAAGAAAAAAAAACTAGCAGATGATCTGGCTGTACCACAATGTATTACATTTGAAAAATTCCTAGAATACTGATGAAATGCCAGATGATTGGCAAAGCTTCTATCTTACAAAAGGGGGGAAAGGAAAATCCAGCAATCTTTACAACAGTCAGTGTGACATGTATCCCTGGGAAGATTCTAGAGAAGATCATGAAGAGGTCTATCTATAAGTATATCAAAAAGAATGCAATAATTGCTAGAAATCAGTATTGATTATAAATAACAAATCTTTACAGACTAATCTTATCTCATAATTTGATTGGATAATGTCCTTTATAGATTATGGGTATATGGTAGGCATAACTTGACTTCAGCAAAGTTTTTGACAGGCTCATGCTACAGGCTAGATGTAATTAAGAGCTGTTATTAATTAATGATTCCTCATCGAATTGCAGAGTGGTAAAAAAGTGGGGTACCAGTGGATTGGTCCTGGGCCTTCTACTCTTCCATATTTTCATTAATGATTTGAAATGAAGAGGTAGAGAGATTGCTTATGATATTTGCAGATTATACATAATTGAGTAGGATGCCTAATACTTCAGAAAACCAACATAAAAACCAACATTCAAAATATGTTGGAGAAAGGGGCTGAATTGCAAAGTTCCTCACTTAGGAAATAAAAATCAAATACACAGGTATAGGATAGGGCATAACTGGCTTGAAAATTATAAATGCAAAAGAGATCTTAGAACATATGATAGCACAGTGAGTATCAGAAGCATGATGTGGCTGCAAAGAATGCAATTTTAGGCTGCATCAACCAATTCTGATATCTGTTGTGCAGTTACATGTAGATATTTTATGGGGCATTTCACAGATGTGACTACTTTTTGTTTAAAAAATGCTGCTGCGTTCATGTTTTATATTCAGTTCTGTTTTTTGTATAAAAGAAATGTATTTCTAGGGGCCTACATTTTAAATATTGAAAAAAGCTAAGTTATAATATTTTGAAATCCTCTATTGACCATAAAAATATTCCTGAAAAATATAAACTAGTGTACTCCCTTGGCATTGATCTTTTCTGTAAGCTTTTACAACAGATTGGGTTTTAGAAATTTTCAAGCCTTCAGAGAAAAATAATTTGTCCCTAGGAGAATAATTTAACGTCAGAACTCTTTCAATGCCCCTAATAACTGTGTGAAAAATGAATGTTAATGGTTCTCATGGACATACTATTAACCTCAACGATATTTAGTTTACTAGCAAAATGTACAGTATATATATAATTGCAAATCTGCATACCTAACAATACATATGCATGATTTTAACACAGGTACAGATCATTTTCATATCTCTTGGGCATTTCTCAGTTTGCTTATATAAATCAGCCATTTTAATAGGAAAAAAAACACTTTTCAGATACTACTGCAGTTGGGAAGATAATGTGATTTTTATTGTTGTTGTTGTGTTATTCTAAGCCAGAAAGTCCAGAATTAAACTATTAAAAAAAATATTTCTGTATTACAGAAAAAAATGGTATTTTACTTTAAAAAACTAATTATAATGTAAATAGCTCACTAGAAAAGAAGAAAAAGTTGAAATATTCTCTACATGGTGGTTTCAGTTCTTTATCATTTTTAAAAGTTGGTAGATTTGACAAATCCAGTTGGTCCTTCAGAAGTATTTGGAGTGATTCTTAGAGAAGCAGCTATTCCTAGATAAGTAAACTCATTTGTGATGCTGGAACGCTGTTTTTGATTTGATTATCATTTTTTATTTGATTATCATTTTTACCACTATATGCAGTGAGTCACTTATCACACCCAATGGCCATTCCAACCCAGTCATTTACAGGTTCTTACAGTATCATCCAGCTATCACTGTGCCAATATATGAATAATGAACACAAGCTTTATATCATAACAGCAAAAGTTTGATGGTATGGAAAAGGCTTATAGGAAAAGGAGGAGAAAAGATGGTAATATAGTGACTATCACCTTCAGAGGGTGAAGGTCCAGAGCAAGAGACTATGTGTTTACACACCAAGAAGCACACTAATGACAATAACTTCACTAGTGTATTTTGTGAAAACAAGTCTTTTTCAGTCTCTCTTGGTTTAAACTTTCTCATTTTTTTCCAGAATGTAGCAAGACTCATATAGAACACCTTTTGGGCAGCTTTACGAACAGCCAGTGCATTGCTCCAGGAGTCAATGGATTTGAGGGCTATGCTTCTTTAGGCTCGCAGAGAAAAAAGGGGGAGCCAAAACGTATCCCTAAAAAACTAATGAAAAAAGCAAAGCATTGACTAAGGACTAGAAAGTTGCAAAGGGATTCAATAGGTCCAAATGGTTGTAAGAGAATATAGTTTAATTATAAAATAAAGGAAGAGCTCTCTGATATTTTGCCCTGTGCCTTACTGAGCAAGAATGGTGCAACTACTAAGTTGGCTTCTTTGGATCTGAGAGCCTTGGGGTTATAATTAGAATATATGATGGTTTGGGTAATGACATAACCAAGGAGCTCTGGAGTAGATTATTTTGCATGTCCACTGATCAGTTTTAACAATCTTTTCTTTTTAATGTACAGGATCACTTCTATCATATTTTACTACAATAGATAAAAACCAGGAATAACTCATAGGCAAAGTATTTTTGAAGACATTCTTTTTTTCTGCTTGTTTTTTTCCCTTGTTATTGGACAAATAAAACACTTTAGGTGATAAACCAAAGAAAAAATCATTATTTTTTTTTTATCCCCTAGTTGCCTAATAATATGGGAGTAGCAAGAAGTAGAAAAAGAGTAATTGTAATTGTGGTAACTTATATTTAAGTTCCATAACGTAGCAAAATAGGTTAGAATTAATGTTTGATTATAAGGATGTAGTTCTAATCAAAAGAGCAGAAAAGTTACTTTAAAAAATTGTAATACCAAAGATAAATCTATATAGGTTATAAATAAATATTATCCTTCTAGTTAGAAGTCAAGCGAATTGGCAATTGCATTCTACTTCAAAACAGATTCTGGATTTCATTCTGGCAAGATTTCTTGAATGCATTAAGTGCAGTTTGCTTGTTTTCTTACCTTCCTTAATAATAAAATCTGCTAATTTAGGTGGATGTTCAGGGATGGTAGAAAAAAAAAGTTTTAATCAGTATTAGAGTTTAATTATGAATGATTAAGAAAAAGCCTCTTAGCCTGATTACTATGAAGAATATTAAACTCTGAAAACATGTATCTCAGTTTATTACCACCCCATTAAGATTGGAAGAGAGAGAGAAAGAGGAAGCAAACAGGAAAGTTTATAGCTTTGGGAATAAAGTATTTTTCTTAAAATACTTTAAAGGTCAGCCATATCTCCATTTTGTGAAGTAATTCTATAATCTTACCTTAACATGGATATTTTGTGACAGCAGCCCTGCACATAGTTATTTTCAATCATAAAATAGAATTATTTTGTGTCCCCTACTTCTTGCTTTTCAAATCTTTAAAAACCAATGTCTGATTAGAAATGCAAGTTCACCATTGAGCAAATTGATTTATACATGTTTAAACACACAAATAGTATGGCCCAATTGGTCATAATTAGCACTTTTTAACCAAAAGCACCCTTTTGTAATGTTTTATTTTCTTGAAATCTTTTGGTTAGGACTTTCATATTATAACATGAGAGTCATCATTCATCATCATTCTAAGTATATGCCTTGGTCTTCTTAAAAACATGTAAATATGTATTTATCGATGAAATTATATACATAAAAACATAGATGATAGAAAAAGTGCACATGACATATATACAATATAAATATGAGTTTTGTGGAATAACAGTATCAGTAATTATTGTACAAAATCTACCTTAGTTTCCTTATGATGAAAAGTGAAATTTTGCATAGATTAATACAATCCTTACAGGTAGTTTTATGCTGGCAACTCTTATGTGTACAGCTGAGGTGAAATTCTCATTGTGTTCCTATTTCATTTGAAAGAAGATCAGAAAATGAATTAAAATATAATTTCCCATTTCAGATCCCTTTCCTGACAGAAGGTATCCGAATTCATGGTAATAAAGTAACAGAAGCACTAAGGCCATTTCATGAGCGGATGGAAGCCTGTTTTAAACAACTGAAAGAAAAAGTTGAAAAACAATATGGAATCAGAAGTCTTGTGAGTAGCAATTTAAATACACTATTTTAAAACACTTTTCAGCTTGCAAGTAAAGTGATGGAAGGTATATAATAATAATGTTTGTGCTCACTAGTGGATTCCCATTTTTATAGAGTTTAGAGGCAGTCCTAGATTTCCATGGAATGTGTATAGACCATCCACAACTGCTTTATTTAAGGCCTTTCATCCACAACCCTGTCCAGGCAAAGCAGCTGCCTTCATATGAGGGTGATAGCAGCATTTTCTTTTTTGGCTACTCTCAGCAGAGAGAGAAGCAGAGAAGGACACCACTTCTCTGCAGCCAGACTCTCTTCTTGTCCCCACCAAGTATGGTTCCCTCACTGCCTCCCATTACAGTGATCCCTATCCTGATGTATGTGATTCTAGAGGGCACCACTGCCACACCCAGTGAAGTAAGAGCGGAGATCTCCCTGATGGGAGACAGCATTAGTTGGAATATTGATCTCATTGAATACCTTCCACAAAGTCAGTATTGCTACCAGAGCAAAAAAGGAAAAGAAAACATTGGCCCCTAGGCAAGGTTCTGGTCTGTCTGGCAGCCAAAGGAGATATCCCCCTCCCCCCCAGAAATGCAGAACTCCCTGCCGAAAAGGGAGAGGGTAGTCTTGCAGTAGACTAATTGGAGCCCCACAGGTCTCCAATTTCCCCTTGGCTTTTCCTTCATATGATTCAGATTGTTTCCTGCCAAATGATCTTGATCCAGCTTCAACCTGTTTCAGTGGCTGTCTGGCCCCACAATGAAAGTCTGATGTGAGAACATCTCCTTAGTTACTGATAAGCAGGCCATCTCAGAGCCAGAGCAAGGGAGCTATGTGGATGGCTCCTTGGATTTTCATGTTGTGCATGTGGAGAAGAATTCTGAAGAACCTTTAAAAAGTCATATGACCAGGAATGTTACTATATATATTAAATCAGTGCCAGATCTGTTTAGAAAGATAAATTTATTTGTATAGAAATTGTATAAGAAATGCTTATTGATATATCCTTTCATTTTTTTCTACGTATTCCTAATACTTCCAGGACACTTGTTCCTTAAAGATAGGGAAACTCAAATTGCTAGCACTGTTCTTAACTAGGATTCTCCACCACAGTGTAGCCTGGGGAATAGGAGACCTTTGGGATGGGAGAGAACATGTAGGTTGAATTAATCTTTGGCTTTATTCTTTGCTGCTCAAGAAAAAAGGGATACTTGAATCCTTATAACATAATAGATTTTTGCTGAATATTAGGAGAGACACCTTTAAAGAGAGTTCACTATTAGCCTGAATTGCGTTTCTGGAGGGAGCTCTTCTAAAATTATTAAACGCAGGTTGGACAGCCATGGTTAGATTTCCTTTTTTTGAATAGAAGTATTGGATATATATTCTTCAAGGTTTTATCCAGTTCTGCAGTTTTAGTTTTTATTGGTGGGCAATTATTTAATTATGTTCTATTGCCTATGTTAATATATTATCTTGATGGTCGTTTATAACTCTAACATTATCTCTTCTCTTAGCTCATTGGTGGGTTATAAAATCTGCAGCAAAGAGATTCAGTCTCACGTGGCAGCTCTGAGAGCATACTCAAAAAATGAATATGACCAGGAAAAACATAGATGGATCAAAGAAAAAACATATTTCCTAATAAGTAATTAGAGATTATTTCCTAATGATTTGCCACTGGACTTTAGAAGCATGAATCATGCTTCAAAATGTTGGTGGCAAATGAGAGTCTATTGAGATCTCACTAAAAGAGGGACTTCAGGAGAAATTTTTTAAATTTTAATTGTAACTTCTTTCTGAGGGTTACATTTATAAGCTGTACATACCTTCCGAAACCAGAAACTGAACCTGCTCATCAGCTATGTGTAATTTGGTTTGGTTTTATTCTATTTTTACTGTATTTTTATTTT